ATGTGACACAATACTGTGAGCCATGGCACACAGATCTAGACTGTTGTCATGGAAAATGGAAATTAGATTCAGCGCAGACTATGTTTAGTGGCTTCCGAGTCCTTATACTGTCGGCGGAGCTCGCCAGTCATCAGATATCTTGCCAACACCCCCAGACAGTTATTTTGGGAAACAAGACCAGACTTCTGTTTGAATGAATGCAGGAGAGAACTGCAACTGCACTTCCACTGACTCAACGCTCCATTGCCTGGTTAGGTTCCACAGCACATGTTGCAGATGTGGTTTTATTCCCGGCAGTATAACATTAGAAGACGATAGCTGACAGCAGTTGTTTCTAGTAGCTGTTGCCGTGGGCTACGGCTATTTAGTTTGACTATCATTTAAAGATATCCCCAAACTCTCCAGGCTGAGAGACACAAAAGGAAATGTGTTGATACTAAATCTGATGAGTATCAGGTGAACTCTCTAACCGAGCAGTTTAACGAATATTTTTAAAATATTAAAAAGTTGTAGATAGAACATTATCCCAGGAGAACATAGGAGTTTTAAAGGCAGCGCTCAGCCTGAGAATGGAATTCAAAGAATTCAAAAGAATGTTGACTCACTGTGCCAAACTGTTAGGAGGCGTATCCGAGTCCTGTGAGTTTCTCCATGTTGTGCATGGCTTTTTATTTATAATATTTACAATTATGCCCCATCGATACATTTTTTTTAAATGAGCTTCAGAGAAATTATGAACAAATACAACTATACTACCTAACAGGCTACATACGACCCTGACATCTTGGATTAATAGCAGGTCACATTCAACGTTTTTAGACGCCACCTACAGCCTTTTTGAGATAATGCAGCCTACTCCTAACGTCTTGATGTGAATTGATTGTTTTTAATTTTAACAGATTCACGAAGCATCGTTACATCCTTATTAACAATTCTTTGGAAAAATTGGAGGAGAATAATGCGAGTTCTAAGATCCACAGTTTTCAGGGTGGATTTCAACCTTTAAAACTTGAAAACCACAGGTTTGAAAACTGTGGATCTGCTCCTGTTAGCAGCAGCCAAAGTGAATGTAGTGTTAATTCAAATCACTAACTGGAACGATAACAACACATATATATGAATTAAAAACAACGAAGAGGCTGATTGGCACGTTTCGAAATACGGAAGAGTTCACATTATTTAAAGTTTGATTTTGAAATACCGTTCAGGCAGAACTTAAATAATTACCTCCAAATGTTTATAAGATAATTAGTAATGTATATTGATTTTATTTTTATTTTTTTACTGATACCCCGTGATATCACCAGTTCCGAAGAATTTAATTCACAACAGATTGAAGCTGCATGCTGAGTGGGTTTTAAATGTGGGGCATTTTTTTGCACTGACATGACAGACAAGCCTCTGAAACCTCACGATAATCATTTTACAGTGCTGGCTTGATTGAAATGTCTCTCACACACACAAACACACGCACACACCGAAGCCAAAATACTGCCCTGTTCCCTCCAAAATAAAAGAGAAATTAGTCCAGCAGATGTGGCTTTAATGACTCAATCACCATTCAGTTTGTTCTTTTTAAGTGTGCCCACAGATGGATATTGTTCCAACTCTCACACCCCTGTGTACGGCCCTAAAAATAACATCAAATGTATGTTGGTAAACAGCTGCTGGAACGGGCGCGTGAAACATCAGCATGTGACAACAAGGCAGATAATGAAGCACATCTTAATGTGACGCACAGGCAGTAGGTAAACACTGTCATTCCATTCAGCAGAATTACCAAACACACTGGTTAAGGACGCCGTTGGACTCCCTTCACAGCTGCAAGCTCCACATCCCATTCTACCTCGACGCTCGTTGTAGGGAGCAAACAAGACATTCATACGCTTCTGACATAAGTACTTGTTTTACTCCCTATGCCATCATGTTTTGTATTAGCCTCCTCGTATGGGCTAATTTACAGCCTTTCACTATGTTGAAATTCACTGCAGGCTGTGAGTAAATGTAATTACTGCCATGGAGCCACACAACTGAGCGCTTTTAAAAAATTTTAAAAAAAAAACAAGCAGCAAGTACGCCAAGAACTAGGCGATCAGATGACAACTTAAACTTAAATCTGTCATGAACATCATAAGCAACATTTATTTATAATATGTATAATAAAGAACAGTTTTCATGATCTTTTCCATAATTTCGGTCGTTTTGGCCAGGTTGGAATCTCACTTTGACAAAATAATCCTACACAATATTTATTTTCTAATAACATTTTTAGGGTATAAACAGAACATAATAATTCAGAGACTCAAGAGAAGTCAATCTTGTAAATATGATCAACATCGTGGATTTTGCTGATAGCAAGCAAGCAAAAAGTCCGTCTAGGCTGGACAATATGACAACAATGTAAACAAAGAAGTTCCCTACTACTAATTTCTATATGTTGGTCTGTATTAACTGTATTACTGAAGTCGAATATTTCACGGTTCTGCTCAATGCTTTGGTCCAAAGGAAGTTGAATTGTGTAATTTTACAATGTTGCTCAACAACAACAAACAGCAATTTGTGTGGTGCAGATAAGCAGCCATTGACTAATGATACATTTTGCAGTTGGCAGGCAAGTTAAATAGTTGCCCTAATGCAGGAAATGACAGACGTAGAATCTGAAATATGCCATCTTCTCACACTGATCAAATTACAGTTCTGCACCATCAAATTGATGGCACACAGTATGATGGTGGTCACAATTTTTTTTGTTATATAAACAGGTGAGTATTACACAGGATGGTTAAAATAATCTTTAGAAAGAGCTACGCGTGTCACAGTTCCCTAACTCTGCATGCCTCTTTCATGTAATACTCTGGGGATTTAGTACCCTGAGTATGTTTATCTTTCCTTCCCACCGCTGCACCAGCTTCCCTTCAAAGTGAAATCCTGAAAATGGATGTAGGGAGACTAAATTAAGGGACCCAATTTAAAGCAGCACCACTTGGCTGATAAGCTGCAGCAGTGATCTGTGAGAGCACTCTGGCCTGCTACATTATGACAATACGCAGGAATAAAGCAGATGAAAGAGAATACCCTGGCAGGAGCAGGAATCAGATGGGCACAGGGAGAGGAAAAAAACAATCTGAAGTCTAATTGTGTTATGCCTCACGGCAGTGAACGGGTCTGGGAAGCCACATTTTCTTTCGACATGTCGTTCAGCATGGTCCCCTCCCGACATGATCACATTCATTTCCGACCAGCTCTCGTTTTTTTTGTCACGTTTTCCCACAGTGCATTTATTGAAGTAGAATAACTGCCCTGGGGTTGTATGCTTCCACCAAGCATTCCAATTGCAGTTTCCGTTGTTTGCACAACTCCATAAAATGAATGTGGGGGCAGACACACAAGACTCAGAAGTGTACTGACACATGTGACCAGCAGAAATCTAATAAGTTCACAAGCCAAAAAATGAGGGTTAGACGCCGGTTATGTAGAGTTTCCCTGAAGGCAACCCCGCAAAGTCTAATTATTTCATGAGTCCATGTGAATAAAATCATTTCTCAGCATGTTCCCTGCGCCCTTGACCTTCACCTCAAAATATCTAATAAGTTAACCTGTTAGTCCAAAGTAATATCGGTGTAAAATTGGGAAAAAAAAAAAAAAAAAAAACCTCTCCGAGGTATTCTTGGAGCAGATCAGGCAAACCTACAAAACAGCATCGACAACTCCAGTGCATACTGATTCCTACTGCTATCACTGGGCCGAGAGCGTTGAACGTGACACTAAAGGCAAATAGAGGGAAACAAATCCCATTAAGTTGGACTATAAACATGAGAGGCTGACATTTGAGGGCAGGCATTTATGCATGTTGGCTGGATGCATGTGACTCAGCAAAAGACATCCTGTGTCATTTATGCCCTTTGGGAAGAAAATGTCACTTTGATGCCACTTGCACTGGCAAAGAAAGTGGAAATAAATAATTCTTTCAACCTCTTGCTCTTTGTTTATTTGAAAAAAAAAAATATATATATTTCCCTCATATTGGTCAACTGTACTGACCTGAACAGGAGTTGGGGCTTTAGTTGTCATTGATAAAAATAATAATAATAATATTTTAATAATAATAATTTTGATAAGTACAAATATTTATTAAATGTATTGTTATTTTTCTTATTAAAACTTACAATATACAATTTTGTTTTTATTAGTTTGATTTTTAAAATAAATAAATAATAATAATAATAATAATAATAATGTCAGAGTAAAAATAAGTTTTAATTAGAGTAATCTAAGTCAAATACCGGGGGGACATTTATTACTACTCTTGTTGTTCTTTAAATGTCACACTTTCCACTCGCAGCATTGTTGTTCTAGCAACAAGGAAATGCGTTTGCTGAGATTATACAGGGATAAATGTGACATGCATTTCTCCGTGGAGCTCACTCTACTATGTAAATTTCTCAAATTAATTATTTCATCCAATATACCAGAAGCTGTTGAATCCAATGCTGCGTGATACAGAATATGTAATTTCTGTATTAATTGGTGACAACAAACACGTTAATTATCTGAGATAGACTGTATACCACAGTTAATTTGGCTTCGGTGTCAGGGGACAACGTTGGAGCAGAGGGTTGAATAAAATACAACTAAATATTATATTACGTGTAAATGACCCCTGTGTCTGTTAAACAGAAATTAATTTCTTGAGGCTTCTATTTTGTTGTGACAGTATTTAGAGGCCTTTTTACTGGGGTGACCCTCATGTTGTGCACCCCAGTAAACACAGTACACAAGTTTTATTTGAGAATTTAAACTAATTCTTCACCAGCAGTCTCAACGCAGGAACAAGACAGTTTTTATTTTTCCTTGTAGCAACGAATATAGTTTTTTTGTGTAATATGGTGCATTTAATTTTAAAACTGCCCTCCAGCACAATAACATTCATTTAAGTTCATTAAGTACTAACAAAGACAACACTCACATTACCAAGGAGACATGAATCTAACATGACATACCTGCTGGGCCTCAGATGGTCATACGCTCGCAGAAATGTTGAGAGGTCTTTTAAAAATACACCCGGTGAGAGTGTCTTCACAGGTCAGTTACTTCATAATCTAAGAAGAAAAAAATAAGAGAAACACAAATATGAAACGACATGGAGAGTGAGCTCACAACTTTAACCGACTCCAGCCAACGCAAATGCCTACTGATCCGGGATAAATCTTGGAAGAAATGTCAAAAAAATTAAAAAAAATTAAATAAAATAAGACCCCATGTGACACGTGTGTGGGTCATCCTTCTGTCTGCCTGACCGACTTGATCATTTCTCTGCTTAAAGAGCTGCCAGACCATGGCTCATTATGCTGTCACATCAGCTGGAGTGAGACAGGGGAGCTGCAATTTCGCAAGGTTTGTGCCATTCAAGTTCGAGGTGCAGCTCCAGACTACGAGTCCAGCTGAGTGACATGTGGTTAAAATGTAGACGGACAACGGTTTCAGGGGAATGTTGTTTAAAAAAGAAAGTGATTTTTTTTTTCAGACAATTGTTTCACAGAGAAAAAGCTGCTCAAAATGAGGACATTCTCTTTTGGCAAACATCAACTACTTTCCCTGAAAGAATCATCAGTGCTGCTTGGTTAATGTGCACTCGCCCGTGCCTGCTGTAGGGTGTGTTAAAGAGCAGCAGAACACAACTGCGAAGTAAATGTGTGTGTGTGTGTGTATGCGTAGGTACAACTTCTTCTTTCCCTCTGGTTTATTCCAACATCAAGGCTGCATAAAACGTGACATTAAAAAATTTGTAGAAACAAAGATTTGGAAATGTGCCAAAATTAAAGCCCCCACAAAAAAAAAAAAAAAAAAAAAAGTCACTGCAACAATGTGTTACCAACAGATTTACTGAAAATCCTCGATGTCCCTTTTTATTATTATTTTGTTAATTAAAAGACAATATATATATATATATATACATATATATATAGTCCAAACTTGAATATATATAACACTAAACCCAACAGAGAGGGAACACTTGGCCAGGTAGGAACAACGGAAAAACTAGGAAAAACACAATGGGAAGCGATAGTAAACAGATCTGGAATACAGGAACATGGAGAAAACACCTCCAAGACAGGAACCACAAGAACGACAGGTACCAAAATCAAATACGCAACAAAACAACAAAACAGAATGAGGCAGAGAGGTGTGTACTACACACTCAGCAGGTGAGACGACACAGGAAGGCAGACAGACATCACAGAGTTAAGGTTAAGGCTAATAATAATAATAATAATAATAATAATAAATAATTTAAATACACCAAATACACTAAAGGCCAAAAATACCTTAATATTGGGAATTTAAAAGAAGTAGTGAAAGGGATATTGAACTGACAGTTAAAACTCAGCCTTTTGTCAATTAGACAGTTTAGATTATATTATATTCGATTAGATTTAATAGTTTTGATCAAAAACTGGTAAAACTGTCTCTAAACCATGCATCATAGCAGGTCTCACTACTATCTTATAAATATTCCCTTTCATTTTTGCTGCAATGTTACTGTCACAAATCGCCCCTGACAATTCTCCATACTCTTCTGTGTACATGACCTTCAATGGTCGACTCTCTACTGCATCTTTGTTCTACTCTGATTACACAAATCTATCTTGTCTTGCTCCTGCTGACTTTTAATCCTTTTTTACTATAAAGCAAACCTCCACCTCTTTATGATGGAACTCCATCAGCACACCTAACTTCTGTCCTGTCGGCCTTCTACATGTCCTGAACGACCCTCACATACTTCTCTGCCACTCCTGAGTGTCTCATACAGTACCACAGTTCCTCTCTGGGCAGCCGATCATACATTTTTCCTCCATTCACAAACACACAGCACCTCCTTTTGACCTTCGCCGAGCTTTTTTACCAGCAGAAATTTCATCAGTCTTACTTTTCCTTGGCATGAAACCAAACAGCTGCTGACTGATCTTAACCTCTTGTCTGAGCCTTGCTTCCAGAACATTTTCCCATACCGTCATTGTATGGCTAAAGAACTTTATGACTATGAAATGGCAAATACATACTTTAAAAAAGCAGAATTATAAAAATGAACGGAAATGAGACGAAGAACGAATGAAAAAATGTAATGTGAGGATATACATAAGGTCAGTTGAATAGCAAAAAAATAAAAAATAAATTAAATAATAAATAATTGTCATCTAAGATTTTAGTTCATGGATAAACATGCATTGGAACCAATGCAGAACCACCACCAGAAATATATAAACGATGATGAGCCAAAATGCAAAGTTTGTTTAAGATCCATGACTGTTCAACCGTGAGAGTCACAACAATGGAGGCTGAGTGAAGAATTTCAGGCTGTGATTGGTGCGAGGCGTCAGTGTCAGCTGTCTGCACAGACACAGTCAGATCCCCTGTCTGTCACCTTCTCAGGGGCCTGCCATTGATCATGTGTCCACTGGGTTTTGAGAGCTAACCAATAAAAATCAACTGTGTTTACTGGCAGGGTTCTGAACCGGTGAGAGTCAGTGAGAACCAGTGTACTGTACACAAATGTAGAACACGCTATTTTTTTTTTTTATAATCCACTCCTAAGAAATGCTGCATGTGTAAAGTTAACTTTAGACTTAAAACTTAAAAAAGTCCTAGAAATGTGTTCTCCTTAGCGTTCTCTTAATGCCGCAAGGATACAACTATATTCCTAGGTTTCCTTAAAATTAACGGTTGAATGTTTTATAATCATAAAGTTATGCTTGTAGCATTTCTGATTATAATCTCTATTAATTAATAAAAGGCAACACTGTGCTTTTCTTATTTCTTATAATAACATTTGCAGTTACATAACTACACAGATTGAGAATAACTAATATATATATATATTGTATGTGGCCAATGGTAATGTTTTCACTTCTGCTCCTTCTCCGTTCGACAGCAGCAACATGACGCCATCTGCTAAGCCACATTTCAGTTGATTTAAACAAGCCACATTTTCTGTAGCTGCCGATTGGGTCCGAAGTTGTTTGCGTTTGGCGGTTTACTTGAAGTCACACTGTTTGACGAACGCAGGCAGGCGTCGTGAACGGCAGCTGCTGACACCTCCAAAACGCTCACCTCTTCCTTCCACTGACTTGCCAATGCTGCTATTTTCATCCCACCCACCGATCAGCCTAATCCACTGTCGGAGGATTTAAGCACTGCAGCGCAGCGCAATTGTGCCGCGGCAAAATAAGTGTGGCTTAATTGGAGCAAAGGCTTAATGAGGGCCCTTTGAGGATTATCATCCGTGGCTTAGGAATGGCCCAGGTAACGGAAGACATGGTCGAAGGGATCACTTCATAGCCTTCTAAATTGGAGTGACAGAGTTAAGCTGCAGCTCTCCTCGTGTAACTTCACTTTTGGATTTGATTTGCCTTTTATTTATTCTATTCTGCAGGTGGGATTAGAGAATTTGTGTAAGGATCACCATGGGAAATACATTTACAGAAGCGGCGTTGTTGTTTTGCTGCTGCCGGGAGGAAGTTAAGAGGCACATATTTCTTTTTCACTTCATCTTGTAAACTGAAGACCTTGTAAATCAATAGTTGGATCAATCACTCAAAACAAAGGACATGAGGTAAAAAAAAAAAAAAAAAAAAGCTTGAGAAGAAGAAAAAAGGAGACAGTGTCATTGTTTTAAAAGCTGGAGGCTGAGCTGCAGGTGGCTAAGACAAAGATGCTGAAATTGACAACTAAGGTTGAAGATTTGGGAGTTGGAGTTTATGGACAAACTATTTGAGTATAAAGAGACCACGTTTTAGAGGTAATGCTTAGATACTCTAGAAGAAGTAGAAGAAGAAGAAGAGGAGGGGGACAAAGAAGAAGAAGAAGAAGAAGAAGAAGAAGAAGAAGAAGAAGAAGAAGAAGAAGAAGAAGAAGAAGAAGAAGAAGAAGAAGAAGAAGAAGAAGAAGAAGAAGAAGAAGAAGAAGAAGAAGAAGCATTTATAGGTAAAAGTGCAGTGAGAAAAAAGGAAAGTATGGAAGGAAGGAAGGACAAAAGGTTAGATGATTAAAGGAGAGCAGGGCTGAGGAAAAAGGAAAGTATGATGATGAAAGACATACAGGAAAGGTAAAGAAGAAAGTGGAGGTGAATACGATGGAGAGAAGCCAGGTGAAGTTAAGTAGAAGAAAACACAATAGGAGTAAGTTCATCTGAATTTTTAGATTTCCCACCTTCCTAAACTATAAATTACCCGTGTTTTTTAACACTAGCTATAAAATGTTACATTGCTATAAAATGTATGCAACAAAGTATGAAATTAATTTTTTGCACCAATTATTTTTTACAGCACCTGCACACAAGCAGCTACATCTCATTATTTCATAGGTTTTTAATTTTCTAATTAGTGCCTGAATAAATTGATGAATTTTCCTTCCATTAAATGTCAGAAATTAGTGGAAAACAACACGCAGCCGTTACCCAGGGCAAAATAAAATGTCACCATATTGTTAAATAAATGTGACCAGAAGACAAATCCTTCAAATTAACTAGAGGTGACGAATAACAAAGAGAATCCACAGCAAACCGTTTAGAAACAACAACGTTTTCCTGTTATTTTTTTACGGATATTGACTCATTATTAGGTGACTTTTTAATGAGGTGTTTACTGACTCATCTGTGGGTTTACAAGGTGACAAGTCATTGGGCAGCTGACATTTGATGAGTGGTCATTCCTGCCCAGTGCAGGATGGGAAAACTATATTCCTGCCACTCTTAAGCAGGGATCGGTTCATTTCTCAGAAGAATTCTCTGCCTGTGTTTTTTTTTTTTTTTTGTCAGTGACAGTCACTGATCAGATATGACGGAACAAGATGAATGGTGAGGCTGTGAACAATCCAATCCAGTAACTGCTCTCACCAGGAACAAAAGGCCAGCCTGTCACCAAGACTCTTCTTCCTTCAATAAGTTTGTATCCTTTTTAGGATAAATATATATTTTTAACTATCTATAATTATTAAAACTTATGAATAAACACAAAACACAATCTTAAACAATTATATTCTTACACTGAATACAAATCAGGTTCAAACAAAATGCAGCAAATACACATTTCTGAGTCGGTGC